TTGTAAATTAATGAACAGAGAAAGAAGTAGATTTTCGTAGAAATATACTGTTTGCATAAAACCAGAGAACTTGAATATCATCAAACGTAACTCGACTTGGAAAAATACATCCCTCGAGAACCCCAGCTCGAAATTAATAAAATTATTTTAAAAATTGTTAAAACTTGTTCGAGATAGCGAATATATTTTTTGATTGTTTACCATATCTTCTAGAATAAAATTAATAAGTTGAAAGCTTGTCCAATGAGATGATAAATAATATTTAACAAATTTAATTAATTTCATCAATAATTGCAAACATTATTACCTGGGATTTTCCAAAATACCACCAAAAATCATATTTAATTATTCTCTCATATTTTAAAATCACACGTAAAAAATGACGAATAAAATTTCCGATTTTATAACAGCCTCTTATATTATCTGGAAAAAAAAATTCACATCGTTAAATTTTTCAAGTTTTTTTTTTAACATTCAGCAATGTAAACGCAATATTATGAGACATAGAGAGAGCGTATGGTTGTAAATCCTCAAGCGTCCAAAGCTCATGTTGGTTGCAGCGACTATTTCCGGCTATTTAGCGTACAACAAGATCACCTGATCATCGTAGCATTTGCTTACTGGCTTATGTTTACAATCGCACTAGCGAGAGTCGAGATCAAATAGCCATGTTTGTCACTAATATGTGTGATGTGAACACGGATCCGTGTATTCAAAGGGTTGGAATTCAAATCGATCGGAATGATGGTTAACGTTTACATATGATTTTGGTATTTTCTAACGAGAGAAATTAGATTTTATTTCTACTGGTATTTCGACAAATCCTAAATGAGATAATATTTGCAGTCTAAAAAGATTGAAAATAATTACATTAATTAGACGTACAATTTATTATTCTCATTGCACTTTTTGCCTGTTAACTTTTCTCTGAAAAATAGAGTTCTTTTATCGTTAAAAAGTTGTACTCGAAACATAAAAGGAAAATTAACAATACAATCTCTGAGAATACGAGAAAGCGTAAACGACCGAAACGCATCAAAACATATTGAAACAATAAACACGAAAAACATCCAGGAAAAAAAACGATGTATTTACGCTCGAAAATATTTCTCATGCAAAAACCAAATTTGCCGTATAAAACACATCGATCACCCAAAAAAAAATATTCTGCCGATAAGTGGGGAATTCCTCTTAGCAGTTCCTCTAAGCAAAAAATCTTACATGAAGAATATCCTTCTTTAAGTAATACGTATTACTTTATAAATGAGTGGATGCGTAAGCTATAATCAAGAATAAATTCCTCTACAGTAAATTCTACTATTAGCCTCTTAAAATAAGAGGATATGCTAGATATTTGCGGCGCGCGCGTTAAAGTTAAAAGACGATCGTCTTATTAGCTACGCGATGCGTACGCTACCACGAGACGCCCGTGTAGAAAGTTCAGCCCCTTGCACAATGCCAGGCAACAGGCAATAGGAACAGGAAATAATAAAAAATCGTTAATTACAACCTAAAATATTCGAATGTTATGATTTGTTGGCAACAGGCAATAGACACATAATTTCCAACGTGACGGAAACTCCTGTGTCTATTGCCTGTGTCACTGTTTATTCTGCATTTATACATTGATTTTTGATTTTTATTCCCTGTTCCTATTGCCTGTTGCCTGGTATTGTGCAAGGGGCCCTTGCACATTCCTTATTTTAACCTGATGAGGTCCCTATCATTATTTATTAAGGATTCCATAAGAAAGGTTTCCTTATTTTTATCTAATAAGGTCCTTGTAAAGATTTGATAAGGATGTTTTAACTTCATAAATACTTATTTATTAGGGCTAACCGGATAAAGTCCCGATCATTATTTATTAGGGATGCCATAAGAAACGTTTTCTTATTTTTGTCTATTGAGGCCCTTGTAAGGATTTGATAAGAATGTTTTAACGTTTTTTAACTTTATAAACATACTATTTTCATAAATATATTTACGAACACAAAATTTCATAATAAGCCGGCACTGGTTTCTGACATTCACCCGACATTAAGAAATATTATATCATATATCTTATATCCAATTCAAAATTTTATTACTCTTTTTAAACTGAATTTGTTTATTAAGATGATTTTTGGAAAATTATATATTTGCGCTGGTTATGTAGACAATATATAACACTTACATCAAATTAAGAAGTGGTCTACCATGTAAGGCAGTTGGCTCACGATCCAGAGGTCCCGAGTTCGATCCCACCAAGGTAAGTGTTTTTTCCAATACAAGAAAATATTTATAATCATAGACTACATCTTAAGAAACAAATTTAGTTATAAAATAGTAATAAAATTTCAAAATAAATAATTTTTTTTATTTATTTCGGGTGAATATCGGAAATCAATGTCCTCTAATATTAAGAGGACTGCACAATCTTGAATCTAGAGTCTCATGATTAGAGGATATTCCTCTACAGTTTAAAACATCTTCTTAAGGCCCTATTTCAGAGGAAAATCCTCTAGCATGAACCAGAAACCGCTAAACTGCAGAATATTTTTTTTTGGGTGATATTAAAGCATGAGCGTTTCATCCTGCATGGCACAGTGCAATGCTATATTACAAAATTTAAATAATTATTGCTTTATATCATTTTTAATTAGATGATTCCAATTCTTGAAATTAGAGTGGTTTTATAGTACGGCAATAAAAACTAATGTAATATAAACTAATAATGTAAATGACGAAGAGACGAGATTTCTATGCGGCATCCTTTCTCTACGTTTCATCTCCGAGAAAGGGTGAGGCACTAAAGGACAGCCGGCACCAAGGAAAACAGCAGATCGTCCGGGAAAATACACCACGGATTTTCTTATAGGCGATCAGTAATGCTCGCCGAGCCAGTCACGACGAAGAAAAAGGACGTAAACGATATTCGGTCAGGATAAGAAAAGTGCATATGGCATGCACAGAACCGTGAATCATCGAGAAGCCACATGTGCCGACATAAGGATACCCCGAAATGTCCACCGAAAGTTTCAAGAAACGATTAAGAGCCCGAATAGACGAGCGACTTTGTATAGCGCTTCTCTGTAGCCTTAAAGGCTCCTCCTGAGCTCTTTCCCGACATCTTGTGAGATTGTGACGACAGAAGCAAGAAATGTTGAGAATTGACACGTTGAAAATTCTTGCATACTATTTCTAAATAAAAAGGTATTTGCATAAAATAACACTTCAGATTACTTCAGCATACTCTGAAAATACTCCGAGGTTAGGTTAAATCTATCCCTTTTCTTAAAAATGAATGTAATACGAAACCTAGTCATGCGCCTGCGCATAAACCTGCATCGTATCACATTCGTTTTACAGTTGCTTAAGGGGGTCGTCTGGTCAAGAGGCTGTTTTTTGGGGGGAATTTTTTGTAAGGAATCATAAGAATACACTTTTTTGAAACTTTTACATCATATTTATTGATATTTGAAGAGTATTTAGAAATTTTTCCAAGTTGATATATGGCCAAGAATCCGCTGTAGAGCGTCCCGAAGACAACTGTGTAAAAAAACGGTACCCACGATTCCGGATCTCCAGTTCATTCTAAAAAAAAAAAAAAGAAATCCTCTTAATCTGTGGATGTGTGGCTATCGTGTGAACTAGAACCAAATAAAAATATTGAAATTTTAGTTTTTGCCAACGTTTTGAAAAAAGTTCATAATGAAACTATTTTTCAAAACGTTGGCAAAAATTGAAATTTTAATATTTTTATTTGGTTAGTTCACACGATAGCCACACATCCACAGATTAAGAGGAATTTAATTTTTTTTTTTTAGGATGAACTGGAGATCCGGAATCGTGGGTACCGTTTTTTTTACACAGCTGTCGTCGGGGCGCTCTACAGCGGATTCTTGGCCATATATCAACTCGGAAAAATTTCTAAATACTCTTCAAATATCAATAAATATGATGTAAAAATTTCAAAAAAGTGTATTCTTATGATTCCGTACAAAAAATTCTTCCCCAAAAGCAGCCTCTTGACCAGACGACCCCCTTAATAACTGTCAAAGAAAAGGGATGCAGCTCGGAGTATTTTTGAAATGATGCTGAAGAGTGATCTGTAGTGTTATTTTAAGCTAATATCTTTTTACTTTGAAATACTATGCAAGAATATTTAATTGTCATTTCTCGCTTCTGACGTCACATTCCAATATGACCGCGGCGAGTAGCCAGGAGCCTTAATACCGAGTGTTTAATAACGATCGACGAACAATCGCGGTTTATCGCCGTGCAATCAATCATGCCAGACTGGAGTCACGGCTTCTCGGCAACATAAGTGGTGGGGATAGAGTCGGGGTAGGCTGACTGGGCGTACCGAACTGTGATTTTATAATTTATAGTTACTAATCAAGATATCGGAGAAGCGGCGGTCCCATCAGATATCACTATCACTAAGTGTGCGTAACCTTATGTAATAAAAAAATGGGCAGAGGATTATAAATTGTAAAAATATTTTCTAGGCTCTAGAGAGAGAGAGAGAGAGAGAGAGAGAGAGAGAGAGGGGGGGGGGAAAGAGAGAGAGAGAAAGAGAGAGGGAGAGAGAGAGAGAGAGAGGGAGAAAGAGAAAGAGAAAGAAAAAGAGAAAGAAAGAGAGTCTATCCATTTCCGAGCCTATCCACTTCAAGACAGTAGATTATAATATATTATAATATATGTATTAGTTCAATTGTATTATACTTTTATATTCTTACAATCTTTAATGTTTTAATTTTTTCTGTAATAACTGTAGGAATAAATAATATATTTTCAATAAAAATATTTCATGAAATTAAGTAATACAGAACACTACCGTTACATTAATTATAATTTTAAATAACAATTTTGATATAATATCTAATAATTGTTAGAAAAATACTGTTCGTGTGATTCTTTTATCATTTCTCATTTCTCATACATAAGTATATCTTATTTGTTTGTAATATAATTTTACAAATCCATTGCTTCGACATTGAAATAAAAAAATAACTTACCGGCCGATGCGCAACAGCAAAGTTGTAAGTTGTAACCCTGCGTTAATCTGTAACGTATAAATATTTTTACATTAAAGCAGTGTCCAAGATAATCAATACTACAAGTAAATAATTATATCGCGCCCATGAAAATTTTAAAACATTATTTTAACAGATATTTGATTTTAAAATGTTAATGCAAGAAACAATCGCGGCCGTCGGCACCGCAATCGGCTGCATATTTCCACATTAGGTAACTCGTTCGCATAATTAATCTGCGAAAAATCGTGCAAGTAATATTACGATCTAGTGCGAATGAGAGACACGAGAGAAACGTTCGCGACGTAATATCTCTTCTCGTATAGGCCGGAGATCAAACTCCGAAATTGCGAAATTGCGCCGGAGTTAAACCTCGAACGAGTAATGAGTATCACGTGATGGGCAAATCAAATCGCGCTTGAGAAAGTGACGAAATGCGCCATAGGATTGACAGAATAGCAAAATAATAAATAATAACAATTACCCCACGGTTGCCCCGCTATCGCACGACGCCTCCCAGGCCCCTTTCTCTTATCTTCGGTCCTCCTTCTTTATCGACTCTCCGTCGGCGCACTCACTTATGCCCCCCTCATGGCTCCCTCGACGTTCACGAAAATCGAGGCTATCGTCACTTATGATCACGCGACACTTTCGACATTTTGCACGGCAGTACTACCGGTATTAATCTCGGAACGTACATTGTTACACGACGACGGAAAAATTACGTCAAAGAAGCTACGAACGAAGCTATACGATCTGCTCGACATCCGTCGATCCGTGATGTCCCGCAGGTAAACGATAACATAGTGGAGAGAATTTCGTAAATCGCGTGGTCAACTTCACTCACCAGGAGCAACCGTCGCGAAGGCGCTACACTTGCTGCTTGTCAAGCGATTTTAGTTAACTGCCGTTAAATCATCGATTTATGAACAATGCACTGTGTCTATCACCCACGATCGCCAGATATCGAAACACGATTAAATACGAAGTTAAATGTACGGCGTTAATAGACTGCTAATAGTAATCGCTAATTAAATTTGCGTCGCGGCGTCACTCGTATTAAGGTCCGCTATCTCGTATTCTTTATCCGTGTTCCGAAAACAACAGCAACTTCATTTGGAAGCCGCGCGACACGACGTCAAATTGGCGGTTGAGAAAAACAAGACCGATTATCCGAAAGAATATAATGGAAAGTCGTCACTATTATCGAGTGCAATATACCTCAGTATCCGTATAAATTCCGCGCAGCACATGTATTAAATGATTATTCGATATATCACAGTTTTTCGTAATCTGAACCACCGCGCCGGCGCGCTACGATTCGAGAGCAGTGTTTCCAAAACGGGGCCGCGGCGCCGCGACAATCTGAGTGGTAGGGACATAGTGGAAGTAGGGTGACTAAGGGTACGATCCACTTGGCGCTCCAAACGCTCTTAGAAACATTTCATCCTTGTTATTTATCAAATGTTAAACAAGGACAAAATGATGCTCTGAAGCGTTTAAGCGTCTAGTGGATCGCACCCTTAGTCACCCTACTCCCACTATGTCCCCATCACTCAAGTTGTCGCGGCGCCGCGGCCCCCTTCTGGCAACACTGCCCTCGGATCGTAGCGCGGAGTAATACACGTATCGCTGGGACCGGCAGTTCAGATTACGGAAAACTGTGATATATCGAATGTTCATTTAATACATGTGCGGAATTTGTACAGATACCAAGGTATATCTCATTCGATAATACTGACTTTCGATTACATTCTTTCGGATAATCAGTCTCGCTTTTCTCAACCGACAACTTGACTCGCGTCTCGCGTCGCGTGGCTTCCAAATGCCAGTTGCCGTCGTTTTCGGAACACCGATAGAAGATACGAGCGGACCCTAAATCGACTGTTTAATTAGCAATCATAATCTCTATTACCGTCGTACGTTTTACTTGATATTCAATCGTGTTTTAATATTTGGTGATATTTGGTGATCGTGGTGATAGAGATAGACACAAATGTGAGTGTTCATAAATCGGTGATTTCATTGCAGTTAACCAAAATCGTTTGATAAGCAGTAAGTGTAGCGTCCTCGCGACAGTTGCTCCTGGCGAGTGAAGTTGGCCGCGCGACTTATGAAATTCTCTCCGCCATGTAGCGTCTATCTGCGGGATATTACGGGCCAACGAACGTCGAGCGGATCGTATAGCTTCGTTCGTCGCTACTCCGACGTAATTCTTCCGTCACCGTGTAACGCGACGGGATGTACGCGCCGCGTCACGAGATTAATACCAGAGTACTGTGCAAAGTGTCGAAAGTGTCGCGCAATCATAAGCGACGATATCGTCGATTTTCGCGCGTGAACGTCGTCGCTCGCCACCGCATCGTGAATGAGTGTGCCACCGCATCGTGAATTGTTTCTAGATTTTAAAATCAGATGTTAAATCTGATGATATCTGATGTTAAAATAATGTTTTAAAAATTTGAGAGATGCGATATAATTAATTATTTACTTGAAGTATTGATTATTTCGGACACGGTTTTAAAATGTAAAAATATTTATACGTTACAGATCAACGCAGGATTACAACTCCGCTGTTGCGCATCGGCCGTAAGTTATTTTTTTATTTCAATGTCGAGGCAATGGATTTGTAAAATTATATTACAAACGTAAATAAAAAATGTATGTATAAGAATTTTTGGTACTTGTCTGTTATCGGCAAAATCAACCATTGCCGAGACTTTCTCTTATGCATACGAGTAGGATGCGCACGATCGTACATACTTGTCACTTGCATTATGCAGACTATATGTTTATGGGTTTACGCTCGCGCATGTGAACGTCATGTTCAAACATAAGTCGCGTGCTTAATACGCAAACCACGCATATATGCGCACCATACTACATATTTACACATTCGTCGGTGATATATCGATACTTATATATTATACCGATATATATATCGTTAGGACGTGCGAGAGCGCGAGTGTCTGCGCCGGCACATAACTTCCTTGGCCAAAGATAAACTACGGAACGCTATCAACATACCGACGCTCATACGTCCATTATTAAACCGATACATAGTTTCAGTACCTATGCCAGATACATTAACATCATGCATTATATATTTACACGGTGCAACGCACCGTTTATTAATGCACGGGAATGAACGTAATCGCATACGCGATTTATACCTGTTCATCGAATACGACACCTCGTGATATTTATTGCGTTCATTATAATATTCTCGTGCGAATAAATCCCCAATTTCTAACGATCCATCGCATGCGGGCGCATCGAAAATAATTATTCCTCACGGTACGTGGAACTGTCGCGTAAGCTTGTTGCAGTCTAAAATCTCTATCGCAAAAGTCGCGGCAATAATATATTTCACAGCGAAGCACATTTGCGCGATAAAGCCGCATTCTCGGCATCATGTCTTCACGTATGTATCACCGAAGATAAGTCACGTTAAAGATAAACGCATGTGTTTGTGTGTGTGTGTGTGTGTGCGTGTGCGTGTGCGTGTGTGTGTGTGTGTGTGTGTGTGCGGGCATGTGTCTGGTCTTGTCTCAGCTTTCGGAAGAATTCAACACGTGTGGCTTTCATGGTCGAGGAACACCGGAAAGCAACTGGTGCAGAAGAAGGATACGACAGATGGTAAACGAGTTTCGTTTGAAAAAATTCTCGTACCCTCTGAAATGGTAATACTGTGTTTATTAATGTATTTGTACAAGACCGGGATATCCGTATTATGATTCAAAATTAACTAAAATACGGAACAGAAATTACTTTTCTATAACTTCTCAAAATTTATTTATTTATTATTAGATTATTGTTATTATTATTTTATTAATCAAACACATTCTATATTTAACAAGCTGTGTGCAAACTTTATTCTTTGATCGCGCGTCAGTCTTTATCAATCACTGAATAAATTATTCAGATATAATTATTCTAAATTATTATCCAAAGATAAAGCTGCTCTGATTTAATAAATATAATTCTTAAATTTTAGAATAAATACAATTTTATTTATTCTAAAATTTTAAAATTATATTTATTAATGCCATAAGAGATAAAACTTATCTATTACTTTCTCAATAACTTTTAAATATATTTTGCAACAGGATGTAAATACGCAGGTATTATAAAGAAAACTAAATTTATTAAAAATTGAATTAATATTCGATCTATATATATAAAATTATAAAAGAATTACATATAAAATACGAATTTTTTACATAACTGTGGGAACACGCGCAACATAAAAATCGCATTATATCTCGTACAAACGCACGTTTTGCGAGGAGTAAAGATTTCATTCGTCATGATCGCTTTCCGCAGAAAGAGCAGCGTCCAACCGCATCATCAGTATCAACAGCGCGTGCACTTTGCCGGTTGACGTCTTGCGCTAGCAAGCATCCGTATAAGAAAGTAACAGCCGGCATACGAACCGCGACCGAAGAAAAACGCCATCGCGTTCGTCGCGACGAGGAAGAGAGTGGCGACCGACAGTCTGCGAAGCCACCGGTAAGCCGATATAAGCAGAGTCAATTTCCAGCGAGTGTTCGAGCGGCAGGAAAGGATTTTCCTTGCGCGACGACGAAATAGTTATTTGTGTAACAAGTGAGGTAAGATGAAAATTCCCGGGTGCGGAGTTTACGCACGAGCCGAAGGCGAGTGCGGTAACCGCATCTGGGAATTTTCATCTTTACACACGGCTTACACTCCCTATTTTATGTTGCAAGTGCCTGGAAAGTGGTCTATCATGCACGCGTAGCGTGCGTAATGGGGCACTTTCCATGCACGTGTTGCATAAAGGCAATATTCCGCTTCAGGAGCGTACGATCGCGTCGGGGTTGGGAGGACAAGTTACGTCGGTAGGTGGGTAGATATAGGTAGGTAGAAAATCGCGGGGTTGATGTGAACGATGACGGGGAACGGGGAGAGAGACGAACGCAAGCGGCACAGAAAGCACTACCTTTGTTCTCCGGGACTTATCTAGATACTTTTCAATAAAGTTACTTGGCACCCGCCGCGCTTCACC